CCGCTGTGCAGCTGTCGGTGGCATGGTGGCCATACTAACGTGGCTTCCGCCGTTGCTGCCTTCGTCGGCCTCGCTGTCCTCTGCATTCACCGCTTTCAAGTCCCGTACATGTGCCGTTCTACCTCTGCCACTCGCTACTGGTCGCACACGCACTATGACTGGGGATATGAATGCCCGTACCGTGAATGGTCCATCGAAGCGAGGCGCCAGCTTGGCCGCAAACTGCTCGGCCGCGTTGGACAGGTGGTGTTGCTACTCGCGTCTTCGCAGGTTGTACTGGCGTGCCTGATCCTCGCTGGCCATCGCTTGGTTCCTTTTTGCGACTCGGGCAACGAACTGTAGCAGCGTCGCGTGTGAATCTGGGCTACCTGGTGTTGCCTCGGGGCCGTCCGGGTCTTCGCCGTACAGTGTGCGTGGCCGCCTTGGTTCTCTCCCAAATAGGACGAAAGCAGGTGGGTAGGCTGTCGCGTCTGACCGTGCTGTATTAATGTCCAATTGTGCTTCCGGCAGCTGCTCGTCCCACATATTGTGTTGCCCGTTTGCCAGCTGCGCGATCAGCGTTTTTACGGTTCTATTGGTCCGCTCCGTGGGATTCTCCTGCGGCGTGTATGGTGCCGTCAGCTGTTGTTGTATGCCTGCTTCGGCGAGGAACTGCTTCAACGCGCGGCTCGTAAACTGGGCTCCATTGTCCGTAATGAGCTTTTTTTGGTGTACCAAAACGCGCCAGAATCCGTTCCCGTAAGGCCAGCTTCACTGCTGCTGCCGTCGCTTTGCGGATGGGGACCAATTCTGCCCATTTGGTGAACTTGTCCACCAGGACCAGTAGATACACGTAGCACGTGGGCGATGCAACGGTACAGCTTGTCGTTCTGCATGGCGTAATCTGGGTACTTGCTGGGACTCTCCACCACCGCTGCCGTCAGCCGCTGTAACCATTTACAAGTTGGCGTTGCCTCTGGCCCCACGTGTGCACGGCCGGCCACCTCGCGCGGCTGTCGTGACAGCGCGTCGGCCACCACGGTCAAGGATCCTTTCCGGTACTGGAAATCGAAGGTGTACTGCTGTAGCTCCAAAGCCCAGCGTGCGATGCGGCCGGTGGGGCTCTCGATCGAGTTGAGCCAACGCAACGCCAAGTGATCGGTCACGACAGTGAAATGGTAGCCTTCTAGGTAGTGCCACAGCTTTCGGATTCCCCAAACAATTGCGAGGCGCTGTAGTTGACCTCCGCTATCTGCAGCTTCCTACTGGCGTAGGAAATCACGTGTTCGTGGCCGTCTATGTCTTGCGTCAGAACCGCGCCCAGCCCACACCAATGTACTGCCGCAATTGTTTTAGATTTGATGGCGGCTTCAGCTAGTGGATGGCTGCTACCTTCTCCGGATCCGTTTGGATGCCCGCCTCCGTCACTAGATGCCCCAGGTACCTAATGGATTTACGAAAGAATTCGCACTTATCTCGATTTATTCGAAGATTGGCCGCCCGCAGTCGCCGGAACACCTCGCGCAAGTTGCTCAAGTGTTCCTCGAACGTCCTGCTGACCACCACTATGTCGTCGAGGTATGCAAACGCATGCGGTGCCATATCCGGGCCGATGACGCTGTCCAACGCGCGGAGTGCAGGCCAAACGGCATCACACGCCACTGGAACAGCCCGCGTCCTGGCACCATGAACGCTGTATATCGCTGGCTTTCACGCTCCATCGGAATCTGCCAGTACCCATTCCGCAAATCGATGCTACTTATGTATTTGGCCTGGCGCAGCTGCTCCAAAATGTGCTGGATCCGCGGAATTGGGTACGCATCTGGTTCTGAGCGTTCGTTCAGCTGTCGGTAGTCGATGCACATCCCCCAGGCGCCTGTCTTCTTGCGCACCAACACGATAGGTGCGCTGTAGGCACTATCGGATTGCTCGATGCAGCCCTTTGCCAGCAATTCGTCGACTTCTTGATTGATCACTGCCTGCATGGCCGGATTCCGGGGGTACTACCGCTGTTTGATGGGACGCTCGTCTTTCATCCGGATTGTGTGCACCGCCGCCGACGAGACTCCTGTGATGCTCTCAAAGCTTGCCAGTTCCCCCTCGATGAACTTGGCGGCCGTCTGGTTCTGCTGCTCCGTTAGGTGGGCGGCTATAGTGAGCCCCGCCTGTTCGCTTGTCACCAAGGCTGCATGTCGGGCTCTGCGATTTCGCCTCCGCCGTCTGCGTGGCCGTGGATCGTTCGTTCGCAATTCTACAGTTTGGCCGCCCACAGTCACCGCCCCGTTGGCCATTTGGACATAATCCAGTCCCAATGTGAGCTCATCTATGCATCCGGGGAGTGTGAGCAGCGGCAGTACTACGCGACTGTCGCCCACCGTGACCGTCGCCTTCGTTTCTTCACGGACCGTCTTCTGTGTCCCGTCAGCCATGGACACAGTCACGCTCACGGACCGTACATTTTCTCCATCTGGCGCCCGCAGGCGTTGCGCCAGCCTCGGACTCGCGAAGCTGCGTGTCGCTCCGGTGTCCACGACCGCCTCTACCAGTACACCATCACAGTCTACTGGTAGCGCGGCCGCTACCCTGCGTGTCGTTGTTAATTGGAATTTGCCTGCGTGGGCTCGCCGACTGTTAATGTGGGACGAGCCCCTCTGGCGTTTCCCGTCGCGCGTCGGCAGCATTCGTTCGCACGCACCCCTATCTTACCACAGTCCCAATAGTAGAACTGTTGAGAGTTTGGGCACGCGTCCATACTGTGCGCTCCCATCCCGCAACGTCTGCAGATGGGAGGGCGACGATGCGTGTCCGCTGGGCCAACCGCCACCGTCTGTGGGATCGGCGTAGGGTGTGTGGCGTTCGTCTCATCATTGCCGGCCGCCTGTGACCGTGCTAAGACTGCTTGGTACACGCCCTGTGCCGCCTGTACGTACCCATGGAGTGAGCTCACTTCTTCGCCTGCCAGGCGGAGATTGGCGCGTATTTCTGGTAGCCCGTTGGCGTGGACAAGTCTCAGCTGCTCCTCTGCAGTCATCTCCGCGCCGCGCATCAGTCGTTGCATCGCTCGGACATACTCGATAGGGCCCTCTGATGCGCCCTGGACCCGGCTGTATGCTTCCCGCCGGCGCTCTTCTATGTGGGGACCCGCTGGATACTCCTTTAGTAGGTCTTGGCGGAACTCGGCCCACCGTTGTGCCAAATTGCGCCTTGACCACTCCCACTCCTTTGCCTCGCCAACCAGGACTTCCGGTAATGCGGTCACCAACTCGTCTAATCGCACGTTGCTCATCTCTGCCTTATCTTCCAGATCCCGGAGAACGTTCTTCTGCCGTCAAATCGGACGCCCCACTGGGCTACCTGTGTCTGCAACGCGGCTCGTCTGTCCCGTTCGGCTGATGTTGGCGCATGTTGTTCTGCCACCGCCTGCGCACTCGCGAGCGGCGGCGCTGGAGTTGGTGCTGTTGGGTCATCATCGTCAGGTGCATCACCAGCAGGAGCAGCAGACGCGGTGGAAGCGCAGATCTGGCTCGACAGTTTCTGGAAACCATCCTCCATGGTCTGGGCCAACCGGTGGGTGTACTGCGCCAACGCAACTGTCATCGAATCGGCAATTGCTTGTGACAGGTCTACCGTTGAGGGCACTGGAGCCACTGTTGGCGTCGCTGAGGCTGCCGTGGGCTTGGCTGCGGCAGCTTCAGGCGAGGCCGCGACTCGGTAGCGGTCGCGCTGGTCGGCACTGTCGCTGGAGTTAGCGATGTCGTCCACGCTGGGTGCAGCTCGCACCGGGACCACGGCTGGTGTCGTGTTTGCCTCTGTCACGGCGAGCAGCCCCTCCGGTACGTCCTCTTGTTTCGGGACTCCCAGCCGTCCGCCGGGCACCGGGCTCAACTGGTCTGCCGCCGCGGTACGCGACGACATGTTTTCGTGATATGCCGCTAGGCGGGGTCGGTACTCTTCTTTGGCCGACTTCACGAACGTGGACAGCCGCGACCGCAACGCCTCCACGTTTCCGGTCTCCTCGATTTCGAACTCGCGCAGCACCGCGCTGAGCTCTTCCTTCCGCAGCACACGTATCCAGCTCGTTCGTAGTATCGTAGGTACACGCTCTCTTCTCTACTTGGTCGGATCTAACCTCAAACTTCTTTGGAGTCGCTGCTCGGGCGCCACTTGTAAGGTTCTTACTCTGCCGCGGGTATGCTCGCCGGCCAGAGTTCGTTCAATTTAATAAATAGTAGGCACCCCAAAATGCCGAGGCGTCCGCTGAATAAAAGAGGGCGGTATGCCGAAATCTTCTTCACGTGTTTTATTTAAAACTCAAAAAATATATAACCCGCGCTTCAGTGCGCGTTGGGCAAAAACCAAAAAAAGACTAACAAACCCAAAAGAACTTAAAATTTACTTGCCTTCATGGCTTACAGCTAATTACGATTACTTATTACTACTTAACTAATCTCGGCATCGTAACGACGCGGTGTGGATTTTTCAACCATGCTTTGTAGAAATTTTGTGATCCCTTCCTTAGTGCACGCAATCACACAATAGGATATTTGACCCGAAATTTCAACATTATAGATCCTACGGTTTGGACTGTGGGCTGTTGACCCGGTTTCCTTTTTTAACCCAATAAATCCCCAAAAATTCAATCTCCAAGACAAATTTAAGTTTATTTGTAGTTTTTAGTGATTTTAGAAACCAAGTTTTAGATCAAGTAACCGATAAAAATGTGGATTTTTCAAACAAATTTTGCAGCACGTTTTCCCCCCTTTGGAGCTTGAATTTTTGCGCACTAAAAAGGGCATTTGGGAGCGATTTTATTTATGGCTATAACTTTCTACAGAATTATACATCTGTATATCGACTCGACTTGTGATCCTGATCAATAATATATAAACTTTGTGGGGTCTGCCACGCCTCATTCTGCCTGATACATTTTCAGCTACTGCAAACCTAATATACTTCTGTACATTTCATGTACAGAGTATAAAAATCGTAGTTGCCTAGCGAGTAATTGTTATAGACATGTGTTCAAGTTTAGTTACAAAATATAAATTTTCGTGTACTAGATATATAGTCAAGTAAATACAACAAACATTTTTTTGGAAGCAAGTTTCGAAAGTTATTAGTAACCAGGGTTGACGTAAAATGTATTGCCTAAGTTGCCCAGTAAGCGCTCATAAATTCTATCGTAAGCGTTCTATCTACAATTGTACAAAAAGTCGAAGGTGCGTCGTCAATATATTAAAAATCTAATAACAATTTACATCACACATTAAATTTAAATCATTAGCCATTCCAGCTACTTTAGGCTAAATAACACCAGCGGCAGTTTCTACAGCCGGCAGTGCATTGGTATTCCCTTAAGGGTTGATAATAAATTGCACAGTAGCAGTAAGCGTACTTATTAAAGTAGCCGACATATTTAAAGGCACTAATTATTTAATTTCAGTTAATCATCAAAAAGAAGTTGAGGCTGGCTCCATAGGTGGACCAGTTGGCGTTGTCTTTTCCAGCACCGTTTGTGCAAATAGTCCTAATCAGGACTCCATTATTTTTGCAACCTATTTAAAGGCGTTTGCCTTAATTTATGTTCTTCCAGAGGTTGATTGGACAGCTGAAAACATTGACAAGTTGATACAGGATGGCGCAGCTCTATTTAAATCAAGCAGCAAAGACTTACAATGCGACGGTCCAAAAATCCAATCCCCAATCTACTCGGGCGCGGAGCTGCAGATTAAGCGAACTTTTAATATTGAAGGACATACATTCACTTTGGAGCTCGAGCCACGATACTTGGGCGATCCATGCAAGGCAGCAGAGAAACAGCCAGCGCACATAATACGCAATCTAAAGAGCGTTCTACATGCCTTCTTTCGGAATGGCCACTACTGCCTTTTGTGGACCTGTACGGGTTATTTGCTGATTTGGCGAAGGCGAAGGGTGTTTTTTGTATTAGATGTAAAAGGCCGACGGCGTGAAGACTTATGCAGTACCAATAATTATGGCGTGGCTATGCTAGTGTGTCTAAAGTCTATTAACGATGTTTTCCATTTGATAAGCAACATGAGCGGTGTGGGTTCTACCGATCCTTTTACCCTTCGGGAACTTGTAGTGGTACGTCTGGTTACTCCAGATGGCCGTGTTTTTATACGGGATATAACCACACGCTCTGTTGAATTCGAAATTGTTAACAAAAATTATGCATATTTAAAGTCTAATCTTCATCTGTCGTTAAGCCAAGAAGAACCTCTTCAAAACCGGAGTAGTCTCATGGTCTGCGTTGCAGCTATACTGGCTGCCAAAATCGATCATCCGGCCACTTGGAACACTAACATGTTAGATCGCCTGATTTGTTATGGGATAGAACTGTGTCGCAACTACTGGAAGTTGTGTGCAAATGATGGTTCATCTATCAATTTGGACATGTTTCCTACACAGCTGCGTCTGGGCCAATTCGTCATTGAACTGTCTCTACTTCCCAAAGTGTATTCAGGTCAGTGGCGCTGCACGGCTCACTTTAGAGATAATGATTTTGAGGAACTGGTATTTAAGACTTTACGGCAGTATAATAACGCACTTTTCCAGATAAATAATCAAATGTACGCATTGTGGTGCAAGAATGATTTCTACTATCTTCTGGACCCCTATCGCCATCAAATTGTTGGCTCTCGAAATGCTATGGATAGCAAGCCTGGTTTAAGGTGGGCAACAGTACGAATGTTTCGTGATCAGATTACTATGCTCAGCGTGTTTCATCAGCAACTCTTAGAGTCCAACAGTCATTCTATATTCTATCTGCACGCAGTACTTATTAAGAATCTTGCTGAGTGCCCTCGAGGATATGCATTAGCACCAACACCAGACGGTCTTGCGTACGAAGTAAAGTCCATCAATGAGACCATTTACTTTCCCGAACACAATTATGACTGTTCGAAACTATTGACCCACATAAGTGACAATGAGAAGGATGTCTGTAGTTGTTGCTTTGATTCCGATATTAGGTTGCAATTTGAAGAGGGTGAATGCCAGTTCCCGGTTGATGAAGGTAAAGGACATAATTCAAAACACTTGATGATGACGAGATTTGAGGACGCCCAGCCTTGCATCAGTTTGGAAAGTTACCAATCCAAGAAGAAACTAGTGTTGCCTAATTATACGATGAAGTCGCCTACTACTGTGCTGAACAGAACCCCAAAAATAGAATTTCTAACAGTTCCTAGAAAATCTAATAAAACGAAGGCTGTTGAAATCAGGGACAATATAATGAAACCGGTGCGTTCAAAATTACCGGAAAAAAAAAGCAAGTATTCTGATTCACGATTCGCAGTTACCAAAACCATCTACCAAAATGAAAAACAGCGGTATGCATCAATTAACTACCCTAGCTATACGGAGATTCCCAACAGCTTGGCTGTTGCAGGTTCTGAGAGTGGTACAGTGGAGAGTCTAAGGCGACTTTTGAACTCCTCCTTCAAGGTTACTGATCGAGTGCTCATAATGACACCTTGGGGAAATTATGTAGTCTTTCAAAAATCAGAAGGCATGAGAGACGCGCACCCATACTATATCTTTGATGGTTGCACATGCAATATTGATCGCTTTCGGCATTTGGATCTACGTAGTGGAACTTTAGGTCTACTGCCATTCTGTAATCAGCACGATGTGGTTTGCCACATTATAGACTCGCGTGAGACCCGTGCAATGAAAATCCTGCGTTTTAGTTTGGAACACTTTTGCACACGCTTTAAGAAATTTCTTAGTCCAAAACCATAGAAAACAGCCCAAGTCATTTATAACCCTTTAAGCCATTTTCGAAATAAATAAGTTATAAATTCATTTTGGTGGAGTTGCACAGTAATGCTTATCATTGCGACTCACAAAACATAACACAATACAAATTACAATAATATCTAAAATAAACACTTCTGGCTTGATGCATCGCGATAGGGGCATTTTACTCACCATTCGGCTAAATCTACTCCGAATAATTGCACAAACCTAGTCAGAGGGGTAAGTAGGACAACAAGAAAGAAGTAAAAAAGCCAAAGTCGGGTGTCCGGACTTTGAATTACTCTGTACATATGTTTAGAATAATTATAGAAATTATTATGTACGTTTATGCTCGTATATTCGTATCTATGTAAGCATGTTCGCAGTCAACCAAACCACAAGCATCACAATAATCACAAAAATATAACAAACTCGTATAGAATACACACATAACGCGTCTTTGTGCAAAGTTTGGTGTCTCTACCTCTTATGGTCTCTAGATCCAGGTGTTCATACGGACGGACAGAGAGACATAGATCGAATCGTCTCGTCAAGCTGATCAAGAATATATATACTTTGTGGGGTCTCCCAGGCCTCCTTCTGCCTGTTACATTTTTCAGCTCCCGCAAACCTAATATAATTCTGTACATTTCATGTACAGAGTATAAACAAGAGAGAACGCTACAGTCGAGCAAGCCCGACAGTAAAATACCCTGTACTCTCCTCAAAAAGGAAAAAATTTAAAAAAAAACCTTTTTTTTAAATTTAATTATTAAAAAAAATGAATGAATGAATTAATTAAAATTAATTAATTAAATTAAATTAGAATACATGTTTATGTTCAGTTTTAACAGCATACATTTACATCACGTACCTATGCGTGTTTATATGCATGTATGTATGCAGCACAAAGTGTTCAAAGCAGCAACAACAACAACAGCTGCGGGCAGCGCTGCCGACAGCGCATGAGCAGCGATTTTACTTATGGCTATAACTTTCTTCAGAATTGACCTATCATGATGAAATTTGGCACACGGACACATTAGTATTACCAAAATTGATTTCAAAATTCCGAGAATTACGGAAGTTATAAGAAAAAACACGAATTGCGGGGGAGTGGGGGGGTGTATCAGAAAAAATAAACAAACTCGATCTGCCTAGGGCTTATAGGCACCTTGATACTAATTTTGGTTATCCTAGCTCTTGTACTTACTGAGATCCTTGCGCTCATACAGACATACGGACATGGCTATATCGACTCGTCTTGTCATCCTGATCAAAAATATATATACTTTGTGGGGTCTGCCACGCCTCTATCTGCCTGTTACATACTGTAAAAAATATATTACTGTTTTATGCCCGGAACTCAAATAAGAGCGACTGTATGCTGCGTGTGTTCCTTTATTACTAGTTTTATATGTACAATGGATATTTGTATTAGTTATTATTCGTGTGTATGAGTATAAGAGTAAGGTTTACAAAGTAGAACGTTTGAAATGAAACGATTAGTTCTTGTGTGCTTATTTTGGGTATTTTGTTAGTAAATTTTCACATCCTCGGCCCCGGCAAGCTCGATTGGATTTCCAAAGGGTAGAGAAGTTGAACAGGCCGGCGCAGGATTTGTTGATTCTTTGATCTGATGTCGCAAGCTCTAGTTCTTCCATCTCGTCCAGTGTATGTTTTGACTACTACACCAAGTTTCCATAGTAGTCGCGCCTGATTATCATCGTGCACCAGTACGACGTCACCTTCAGTTAAGCTTCGACTCGGTTTTGACCTGTTAAAATAAAGAGTTCGTAATTGAGCGAGGTATTCCTCGCGCCAACGCTTTATGTAGCGCTGCATCAAATTGGTTCTGTGGCGCCACATTTGCGCCAAATTGCTTCCATCTGTCGTGAAGCCTTCACCACCTAGTAGTTTGGCCTCTCCCATAAAGTGAGCTGGTGTGAGAGGCTCTAAATCGTTAGAGTCAGTGGTGATGTACGTAAGAGGTCTTTGGTTAACTACGCATTCCACTTCGGTGAGCAGTATCTCCAAGTTTGTTTTGCTAAGGCTAGCTTTTCCAATGGCAGCTCTTAGGCAGCCTTTTACAGTGCGCACAAGTCTTTCCCAGAATCCGCCCCACCAGGCTGCTCGTTCTGGGATAAACTGCCAATTTATACCTCCATTGGCCGCATATTGTTGAATCTTGCTGTTTTCCATCAACTTCTCCAGTTTCTGCAGTTCCAGGCTGGCTCTTTTGAACGTCTTTGCATTGTCGGATATTATAGTTTTGACCGGTCCTCGCCTTGCTACAAATTTACGAAGCGCACCTATGCAGCTTTCGACAGTCATATCCGCTACCAGCTCCAAATGTACACCGCGTATAGCAGCGCAAGTAAATAGCATAATGTAGACTTTACGGTTGCTTGGTCCCTCTTCTGTTGCTATATAAAGCGGACCAGCAAAATCCAGTCCTGTTGTTTCGAATGCCTTGCTTGTAGTCAATCGATTCGTTGGTAGAGTTGTCCAAGGTTCGGATGCGCTCTTGCCATGTAGCCGTCTGCACACCACACACCTGCCCAGTACGTTCTTGATCAGCTGGCGCCCTTTTATTATCCAAAATCGTTTGCGAATTTGTGTTAATGTAGCGTTTATACCACAATGCATTATTCTCTGATGAGCATCTCTAATAAGCAATTCTGAAAAATGTGAATTTTTCGGTAAAATTATTGGATTATATAGCGTTTCAAAATTATGGTTGGGTAAACGCCCTGTAAGCCTCAATACTCCATCAGTCATGGCTGGATTTAAGCAGATGATCCTTGAGTCTCTTGGCAAGTCTTTTCCGGATTTCAGTGCTTCAATTTCGGGTAAGAATTCTTTTCCTTGTATAAAACGAATCCAATATAGCTCGGCTGCCTGTAGCTCTGCAAATGATAGCGCCTCGTTGATCTCGTTGTGTGTGTCTACTCCGTTAGTTGTGCGTTTTCGGAGACGTTCTATAAAACGTAACACAAAGCCGGTTACCCTAAGCATTTTTCGCAGTGTGCTATATCGTTGAACAGGAAATAGTGGTTCCGCTTTGCTGCCAAGATCGTCTTCTTTCTCCCCTACGACAGTTTAAAATTGTATTTATGGTTGGCCATTCGTGGATTGTCAATTCAAGCCATTTTGGGCCTCGCTTCCAAAGTTCTGATCCTAGGAGCCTTTTAGCTGTTATACCGCGTGTCAGAAGATCAGCTGGGTTGCAATTTCCTTGACAATGTCGCCACTCGTATATATTTGTGAGTTTGTTTATTTCGGCCACCTTTGATTTAATTGAAGACATTGGCTGCCCGCATCCTGAAATCCAGTTTAGCACAATGCTTGAGTCCGACCACATGTAGGTCGAAGAGACGCCGAGCTTTAGCTCCTTCTTTAGATATTGAGCAAGTCTAGAGGCCACCACTGCTGCCGTAAGTTCAAGTTTCGGTAAGGTGGCTCCACTACTCTCTTTGATTGGGCTTACTCTATTTTTTGAGCAAACAAATTTTATTTGTATTTCGCCATTCATCCCCACTTCTCTTAAGTAAGCGACGGCTCCATAAGCAGCAGGGCTTGCGTCAGCGAAAATGTGCAGTTCTAGGTCAGCCATATTCCCCGACACCATACACCGCTGCAGGGAAAAGTCTTCAAGCAATGCCATATCCTCTCGCCAGGCCATAAACTCGTCTGATAGTCTCGTGCTGAGTGTTGCATCCCATTCTAGATGCTCCTTCCATATCTTTTGGAGTAAAATTTTTATGTTTATTGTAAATGGACCGAGAATGCCCAATGGATCATAAATTCTGGCCATAGCTCGTAATACGTTGCGTTTTGTTGGACGTAGACTCTGAACATACGTTATGATCGGTTTTATGTCTACGCTCAATTCGTCAGTTATAGTGTCCCATTGGACTCCAAGCACCTTTTGAACTCTTGCTAAATTTACATCAGTTTCTTTAAATTTCCTTTTCAGTTCTGCATCGTTAGAGTTCCATTTTCGCAAGTTAAAGCTTGCGCCTTGCATGATGATCTTTGATTGGTAGTAAAGATCCTCTGCATCCCTTAATGTAGCCACGCTGGTTACCAAGTCGTCAACATAAAATGAGTCTTGCAGTTTCTGGCATATGGCTGCATGCGCCGGATCCTGCATTTGCAAGTGCTGCTGAATTGTTGACGTCAATAAAAATGGGCTGCATGTTACTCCAAATGTAACACGTGTCATTCGATACTCCGCAATTTTCGGATATAGTGTGCCAATAGATGCTACTGATGCATACCAAAAGAACCGGTGGTAATCACGATCGGATTCATCTATAGATATTTGCAGAAACGCCTTTTCGATATCCGCAACGATAGCAATTCTATGGCAACGAAATCTTATTAAAACAGCAGTTAAATCTGTTAATAAATTGATACCTGGGCTAAGATGATCATTCAATGAAGAAGCTCCATGTTCGCTGGCTGAGGCATCGAAAACAATGCGCACCTTAGTTGTCGCTTTGTCGAGCCGATAGACCGGATGATGGGGCATATAGTATGCCTTCTGGGTTTCACCCAAAACAGGCGCTGCTTCAGCCACGCCACTACTCAATAGCTCTCTGATGCCAGCATCGTATTCCTCTAATTTATCAGAATTTTTGAGCAATTTATTGCCCAAACTGCTTAGCCGATTCTTTGCATTTTGTTTGTTGTCATGCAAATTGTCCTTTGGAAGCTTCCATGGTAAGAGCACTGAGTAACGCCCGTCTATATGGCGTATTTCGGCTGCCTGTACTGCAGCTTGCGGTTCGGAGTACGACGATATGCCAATACTCTCCAAATTCCAAAATTGCTCAATGTCGAATGCTTCGCGATGCTCCAGAATATTTAAAACGCACCTTGATTCGCCTTGACCTTCCCCATAATGACCTTGTATTGTCCAACCGAAGAAAGTTTCTACTGCGACTAAGTTTCCTGCTAATAGTTCACGATTATTGTTATTAAATTTCCAGTAGTTGTCTTGACCAATCAGTAAATTAATGCCTGGAATTAGCTTTTCTTGGGCTACAATGCTTTCAGCCATATTTTTGTTCGATTGTTTATTTAAACGCGGCACAGGCAATACATCTTCGCATATGTTCGGCACTATAGTTGCATAAATCTCCACGGTTTCATCCGAGTACTGACTCTTTACATTAATAATTGTGCGTTTGAATTGTGTGGCCCGTGATTGTTTATCAGTTTGGCCGAATGCGACGATTCTAGTTCTTTCCGTACCTACGACCGGCAACTTTAAATGTTTTGCTAAACGTTCCGTCACGTAGGTGCATTGGCTCCCGTTATCCATTATAATCCGGGACAACACCTTTATTTCACCACTTATAAGAACCGCCTTGGCTGTTTGTAAATAAATCTCATTGTTTACGCGATGCACCATTGTACTGAGTGTCGCCGTCTCTGTGTGTTGTTCTTGTTCACCGCCTTGTTTCTGATTTGCCTTGCCATCGCACATAGCTGTAATGTGCCGCCCGCTACAAATTGAACATTTTAAATGCTGATTTTTACAAAATCTTGCCGTATGATTTGGTTTAGCGCACCTGAAACAGCTTCCCTTACTACGCAATATCTTTTTTCGCAACTCAATGCCTACTGTCTTATCTTTACACTCCTTCGTGTCGTGATTCGTACGTTTGCAAAATATGCATTGTTTTTGTTTCGCTTGTTCGACAGCATATAGCCCTACTGCCGTCGCATTGCCAGCTGCTCGCGTGATTTTGGTTTCCTTGCCGTCTCGTTCTCTCTTATCCCTATTTCCAACTTCGGACAGTTGCGCTTTCTCTAATGCTTCGACTTCGACTTTTATGTACTCCAAAAGTACAGTTAGTTGATCGTTTGACTCAATTACTGTAGAACTGAGCGCTTTGTGCGAGAGTTCCTCTCGTTTGCGTACTCTATGATATTCTATGCGCATGTCAACTGGAATTGATTTTAGAAGAAGTGAACTAACCATAATCTCATATTGAGACGTGGAAACTCCAAGTGCCTTTAATGTTCTTATTGTTGCCTGCGTTTCATTATATAGTTGGCGCAGACCCCTTACGTCATTGTTTGACTGGACGGCCTTCACACTTAACAATTTTTGCACATACCTCTCAATTATTTTTTCTGTGCTTCCATACTCTTCGAGTAGCAGCTCGACGGCATCTTTATAGCATGTTTCGGACGGAATAAAACCTTAAAGAACTGCGGCTGCTTCACCTGTTAGAGCATCATTTAAATAATTAAATTTTGCGACTGCATCTAACGAGCTATTTTCATGCACTGCTATTTTAAACTGCTCCCAAAAGGGTATCCAATTTTCGAACGATCCGTTGAATTTCCTTAGCTCGATTGGCTTTAATTTCGTGAAGCTCTTATAACTGTTGTTGCCTTCCGTTTGTCGCTCATTTTCAAGGCCTCTCTCGTTGTGGCCCGTTATAGGGTTTTGAGTGGAAATGGCCTGATGAGCCGATATCGCCATGCGGTGCAGTCTATATTCCAACTTAGCGACTGTACTTACAGCACGGTCATCATATTCAATAATTACGTCATAATCTCTTTCCTTTTCATCTTCGCCAAATGGCGCTGACAAAGCTTGCTCATCTGCACATTTTAGGTTTGCGTGTGCGTTTTTTAGTCGTTGCACGTACACGCTCAAGCCCTCCTCAGTGACATCCTCGGCCACCTTGAGGTACTTGTCGATATTATTACACAACTTGGTTAGTTGTGTTCTGCATGTGGATCTATAAGCGGGATCCATCTTTTTGATTATATATCCAATCAACGCCTCGAGTAACTGAAACACGCCCGTTAGTTATTCTTCTTGATTATATATGTCTAATCAACCTCATTAATTTTAGAATAACGACAGACACTGCGTTCCCGGGTTTCGGCACCATGTAAAAAATATATTACTGTTTTATGCCCGGAACTCAAATAAGAGCGACTGTATGCTGCGTGTGTTCCTTTATTACTAGTTTTATATGTACAATGGATATTTGTATTAGTTATTATTCGTGTGTATGAGTATAAGAGTAAGGTTTACAAAGTAGAACGTTTGAAATGAAACGATTAGTTCTTGTGTGCTTATTTTGGGTATTTTGTTAGTAAATTTTCACACATACATTCGTACAAAACTAGTACCCTTTGAGTACAGGGTATAAAAATGATTAAAAAAATTTAATTAATTAATTTAATTAAATATAAAATATTCCATACATGCATATATACATTTAAATTTACATCAGAATCCCATCTATTCGTGTTGGTGTACTTGTGCATATGTATGTATGTGTGCATTGGGCCTGGTTATATGGCTATAACTTTCTTTCTAATCACCCTATCATAATGAAACTTGGTATACGTGTAGGGATCTTTAGTGAGTTCCCTACGAGTGGGTAAAAATCTGTCCAGAAACTCCGTTAATAATAAGTACACCACACGTCGTCGTTTTAATCAATTGAGTACAATATTTATTCATGTGCAAATTAAATCAAATTAAATTAAAGTTTATTCATACCTTGTTCACAACGTCTCCTCGTTTCCGAAGTCAAACTCTTACTACTCAAAACGATATACCTTCTTAGACTACCCTGGACTGCCCACCCCGATAGTCCAATGATTATCTGCTGGTTAAAGAGCTGCCAACTCTACATTCGGCTGTCCTGATTCATTATTCGACCCGAATGATGGAGACCACATTTTCATATACTCTGCCAGTGTATTGGTCTTTAATGGCCCTTCACCATCGCCCACTTCCTCAACAATGTACCGGCCATGGCTTAGTTTACGCGTCACAACATAAGGACCCAAAAATTTTCCCTTCAGCTTCAATGCGGCGCCAAATTGGGTACGCTTGATAGCGACCATATCATTGACTTGGTACTCTTTTTCTGTCTTTCGGGACTTGTTGAATAACATGCGATTTTCATCTTGTATTTGTGCTATGTTCTCTTCAGCTGTCTTGCGAATATCTTCTTTCTCCTGCTGCAACTCCAAACTATACTCTTCCTCTACAAGCTTTTCTATATCACTGTCATACTTGGTTCTCATTTGTATGCCTGTCAGAATCTTAAATGGAGATATCTTAGTACTTCTCGGAGGAGTGGAATTTATAAACGATTGTACCCTACCTACATGCTTGTACCAGGCTTTCGGATCCTCTGCGCAAAGTTTGGTTAACATAGTAGTGACCACCCTATTAATTCGCTCCACCTGTCCATTACCACGCGGCACTCCTGTCGCTATCAGCAAATGTTGGATACTCTGTTCCTTACAATATTCTTCAAACACGTGTGCAGTAAATGCGGTACCTCTATCGGTGATCACGCGCTTTGGGTTTCCAAATACTTCGCCCTGTTTCTGCAACTTGTCAACCACCTCATCGGCGCCTGTACTCTTTGTTGGATAAAGCCAAACAAATTTAGAAAAAGCGTCGATAACTACTAAAACGTGGTTATATTGTTTCCTAGTCAACTCCATCGGTCCGATATGGTCGATATGATATGTTTGCAAAGGCTCATCAGAATTGTTGATTACATTCAAACATTCAAAACCCTTCTTTCTTTCCAAATTTCGCGTCACTCACAATGCACTCTACACAAGACTTAACAATCCTATCTACTTTCCCTAACAACTCTGGAATAAAGTATTCTCGCTGCACTAAATCGGTAGTTCTTTTAACACCAAAATGCCCTTGACGATGAGCTGTCATTATGATTTCGTTTTCCATCCTGGTTGGTATTACAATCAATTCCTTAACTGGGTCCTTGTGTAAGATTTCATACTTCAAATCAAAGTCGTCGTAAGTACCGGACTCTAACACTTTACAAATTGTTGCTATCCACTTATCCTAACGCTGAGCTTGCTTTATTCGGTGTCTTAGTGAATCTGCCAACAATAAACAATGCACTCTACTCAATGCATCGACATGTTTCATTTTTGTCCCTGAACGATGCTCAATTTCATAATCGAAGTCCTGCAGAAATATGGCCCAACGAGATACCTTCACTGGAACATCTTGCTTCTTCATCGTTAACGCAAAAGCATTACAGTCAGTAACGATCTTTATCTTTCTACCAAGCAAATAAACTCTCCACTTCTTAAGAGCCTGCACTATAGCGAGTACTTCAAGCTCGTATGAAGGATACTTTTTTCTTCAGCTGGGGTTGTCTTACGACTCATATATTCTACCGGGTGGAGACTTTGGTCCTCCGAGTCCTTTTGTAAGAGTATGGCACCATACCCATACATACTTGCATCGCAATGAACTTCTGTATAGCCCTTCTGATCAAACAGTTTTAAAACAGGGGAACAGGATAAATAAACTTTTAACTGATTGAATGCTGCTAACTCTTCTTCGCCCATTTTGAAACAAACATCCTTCTTCATCAGATTTGTCAGTGGTCTGGCAACGACAGCAAAATCCCTAACAAATCTACGGAAATAAGATGTGAGGCCCAAATAACGTTGAACTTTCCGGTCTCTCGGAATTGGAAAGCTTTCAACTGTCGAAGTCTTCTCTTTAGATGGTCTTATTGTTGAATTTTCTATTATTTAGCCCAAAAAATTCACCTTGCGCTGTAACACCTGAGATTTTCCCCATTTAATGCGCAATCCTGAAATCTCTGCGAGGCACAATACCTTCTCTAACTTTCTGAGTCCTTCTTGCTCATCTTTTAATGGAATAATATAATGTACCGTCGTCTATCAATGGTCTTAGAACAGCAAATATGTACCTCATAAAGACCGGGGGTGAATTAGAAATCCCGAATGGTACGTAATTAAATTCATATTGTCCACTTTGTGTGAAGAAAGAAGTATATTTACGAGAATCCTCATGTACCGGGACGTGAAAGAAACCATTAGACAAGTCCAATGTAGTGAAAATACGTCCTTCTTGAAACAAAACATCATCAACATCATCAAAACATCATCAATTAACACCATTGGAAAATTGTCGCGAATTATCTTCTCATTAAGTTTTCTATAATCGCAGCAAAGTCTTTTTGAGCCATCTTTCTTGGCGACAAGCACCACAGGGGAAGCGTATTCGGACACACTATGTCGAATTATCCCCTCCTTTACCTAATCCATGATCTGCGTATCGACTTTCTCATTTTCCACGAAAGGTAAACGTCTAGGTCTTTGACGGACTGGTACTTCATCTGACAATATTATTTTCAATTCGACAGGGGTTCTTTCTGGTTTTACCGGGCTATAATTTTCGACCAATCTCCCTATTTTTGACATCATATCACGGTTCAAATGCGACAGCTTTATTCCTCGTGAAAACTCTTCGATAACATTGGTAGACAGTATTTGACGGAACGCATTTTCCAAATCATATATTGAACTCGCTGATTCTGAAGGCCTGGTCCCTTGAGTATCACTATGTTGAGTGAACTCTAAGTCACGGCTTTCCTTTGCCAAACTACTGCTAATTGCTTTTTCATCCAACTTAGTGACCACATTAAACGAACCCAATGTATAGATTTTCTTGCCTCCTATTCCGATCAATTCTTTTACATCATTTTTCAACGCAACTGGGAAAATCTTTCTGTAAACTTTCTCGCTCATCGTACAAATATCGCTGCCAGAATCAAACTGGTCTGAGAAAATTGCTGGACATTCGACATTTTCTTCTCCCTTTCCATTCTTGGACCTTTTGTTTCGCATTGATTTGCCTTGTGGCCTAGCTGATTGCAATTGAAACCATTGACGGTATTTTCTTTGCAATCCTTTGCAATATGGTTGCTACCTCCACATTTGAAACAACGCCTATTGTCCTTGATTTGAATCGAACTATTCTCAAACTTTGATTTTGTCCTTAGTGTACTTCCTTGATTCGAACTGATCTTTTCATAAATTTTTAAATTGCTCGCGAAACTCCTTGAAATTGTTTGCTTGGTATAAGCAGCTCTTGTTTTGCTTGGTAT